ATACTCGCGCACACAAAAAAGACCAAGAAAAGCATCGGATGCAGAAATTTCTTTCTACAAATACTATGGCTACGACGAGAGGAGCACGGGGTATCTAGCAGTTCTGATCAAAAGAACAAGGAAAAAAGTGTTGCAGTTGATTAATAAATACTATATTAGGAAGGTGAAATAGAGAAACTATAATTAATATTCAAATAGTAATGAGGGGAGGCAACATGAATTAGGGTAATAAAACAAAAAACAGGCTTGCCACCCGATGATGTAGCTTTGGCTGCAGCAGCTGCAAGAAAAAAGATGGTAGATGATTTGAAGGTACAAAGCAGCTAGGCTGCAGTGAACGTAGGATCAATATAAAATAAAAATTACACGCTAAAAATACAAAAAAACTACCTAAAATATTATTTTCATGGAGATGCACCCTCACATATGGAAATATTCCAATATGGCGTATGTGACTTAATGTGATCGAAACGTCTTACCTCACTCTTTTCTTTTGCTTTTATCTTTGACTAGTTTCTAGTTTTGCCATTTAATCATCCAGGTCTAACCGGGTTGCTACGATCTAATGACTGATGTGGAATTCCTACGCTAAATAAAATACAGTTTTGATACGTTTTGGTACATACTCAATACATACATGTTCGTGAGTTCGTTCTAATCCATGTATACATCTTATCAAAAAATCAGTGCAACTGCATTTTTCACCACTTTCATTAGCGATATTCAAATAATTTTTCCAGTAAAGTGTTGAGTAATAAACAAAAAAGTAAGTACAATTTTCTAGTGTACTTCCCAAAGGAAAAAGTATCAGAAAGGCCATCGCCGTCCGTTCCCCTTCATATGTCTCAAATTTCAGCCTATCCCTCTTTCTACTCTTCCGGTCTCCAATTTTTCTCTTTTCTTTTGGAAAGATCCGGGCTATGCATTAGCATGCTAAAGATTCTTGTTTTCTAGGCCAGGAATTCAATAATTTCAACTGCTTCTTTGCTCATGCATTCTTTAATAAGAGTTGCTGAAGAAATCGGTGTGCCATTTCCATGCGAACAAACATATCCAAAGGAAACAAAAACTGATTTTAGTGTATGTTTTTTTTTTCGTCTTCCTTTATTTGGCTTTGAGATTTTTTTGCGAAACAATGCAGATTTTGTGTTTTTTAAGGGTTATGAAACAAATTACCTGAGCTACAGTATATGGGAGTATTCCAACTGAGTTACACGAATTCTACAGAAAAAAATTCTTGAGGGTTGTCTTTTAATTAAATTTTTGTTGCAAGTGACACTCGTGGAACAAATGAGATGCTACCAGAGCTCAACACACGAAGTGGAATGATTTAGTTTGTCGATGTTAACATGCTGCACATACATTCGCATTCACAGCCCGCATACGAAGTTGAAATAACTCGAGAAGTGTTGACATAAGAGGCTACATACCGAAAAGCTGTCGACTTTTGCAAACCTTACAATATTGTCGATGTTCTTTCGGCAAAAAAAGAACAGAAAGATCAAGCGTGCTTCTGCGTTCATACACCAAGAATG